GTTTGACATCTGTTCTTGAAGCCACTCAGCATTTGCAGGCTTGCCCTGAGTCGGTCTAAAGATATGTGCTACTGTTACTGCCTATCAAGTGCCTGTTTCTTCCTAGTGGCTTCACAAGCCCCTGAAGAGAGTGTTGAAATGTTGAGATCGATGTGCTTCTTGCTCTGTAATCAATTAAGAGTAGTCAACAACTTAAAATATAAATGCCATCATTTGCTTGTTAGAATCTTCACAGAATCAGGGTTAGTAATCTTCAGATAAACTTGGTCGTGAAAGTAACAAAAGGAAAACCTCTGGAGTCTCTCTGCTGCTAGTGAAGTGATCCAACAATGCACAAATGCATCCCCCTGCCTCTTTCCCTTTTTTTTCTGTAAAAGAGAGGAGAGATGCACTGGGAGAGGAGAGAAGGATTAGTTTCATTCTCCTGGCCATTCAGTTGTTTATTGTTCCTTGTAATTAATGGTTTACATTTATTGCTTCTGTGAAGCGTGGTGAAAATGTGGGCGGTGAAAATTCTAGCATATGTTCCTAGTAAGAGGTTGAGAGAATAAACAGTACTTGTGGAAAAAAAAAGTAGATTTGCTTCTAGATTGTGGAAGAAAATGAAACCTGAGTTCTTTAATCTTACTATGATGTTGACCTCTGTGCAAGTTGTAGCGATGTGAAGCCTTGTCCATTAGGTACATGCAGGCTAAGATCATGACAGTGGTTCACAGAGCACTGAAGAGCAAGCTCTTTCTGTCTCTCTACTTCGGCCAGCTGTTACAGTTAACCGTGACTTTGGAGGCTGCTGTCTCTCCATAGAGCTGTGTAAAGTTCTCAGTGGTTCTGTTTAAGAGAAAATGCTGGAGTGATTCGCCAATACCTCCAAAAAGCAGGGGAGGACTGAATGGGGAAGATACATACTGGTTTTTGTCTGTCTGTCTGATTCTTCTGCTGCAAACTTCACAACAGTAGTGGCTGCAGTTATCACAGGGCAAGTGGAATTTATTTCAAATAGACCTTAAAGAAGCAGCAGACTATAATTAAAAGAAACAGAGAGATATTAGGTCAGAGAAGTTATTTAAGGCTTTCCCCACACCGTATATGCAACATCTAAAGTGGCAATTAAACACATGAAGGCAGTAGAGAGGTTAATTGAAAAATACATGGAATAGCATAATGATCTGATTAGCAAAGAAGCTATATAGTTCTGAAGTGTGTTGGCAAGTAGAGACCTGGCTTTGGAATCACCTTCACCTGATCAGGTCACTTCTAACTGTGTTATTTCATGTTGTTTTATATAATCTACTCTTTGTGGTGCCATAGGCACATCCAAAATATGATTCACAGCAGTTACTTCCTTCTGCAACTTCTAAAATCTACTGTAACAATATCATAGAACCATTTCTGTATTTTACTTTATGTGAAAACACTATTTCTTTCATTAACAACATATTTAAAGCACATGATGGAAAAAAAAGGTGTTTTTGAACTTGTTAGACTGTATTTCATTTATATGCTAGAGTGGGTGCTTGGGGAAGGGTCACAGGACATGTAAAAGCACTATGCTGTGGGGAATAAAATTGCACTGGCACTGGCAATTTGCACTGGCAAAGTTTTAGAACTATGTTCACCCATCAGTAGGCTGTACAGAAATACTGTTTCTATTTACAAGATTGTTTCAGGCATCTATCTGATCTGCAGAGAAATTACTACACTACCCATTTAATATTGTCATGACTCACCATTACAGTTATAGTTGTGTATTTGCAACACAGATGAATTTTTAGGTGATGATATATTGAAGATAACACTTTCCACTTTTTAGTTTTGTGGACAATGCCTTTATACAGATGCAGTCTAGTTTTTGCAAGACTTAGTAGAATAGATTATGTTGGAGGTACAATCTGGTAGTCCTGTAATAAGAAGGGGTTTTGCTTGTTTTTTTTAAACCTAGCTGTTTAAGAAGTATTCATATAATAATGCATGTTTTGAAATTGCGATGCCTGAAAGGGGGGCGGGGGAGATGGTTGTTACACTTTAAATTGAGGTTAACGTGTGTATACTTGTGTGACTTTGGTCACATATTTACATGTCAGACACGGATTCAGACTTAGTCTTATGACATGTATGTGAATGAGTCCATATTCAGAGAATTGTATCACAGTTATAAGTTATTTTCTGTAGATTTTATTGAGCACTGATAGTTGTGCAGGGCCGTGCTACTAACCTCTGAAGTTATGTTGCTGTAATTGATGACTCAAATATCAATTGCTGCTCACTTTCCTGATTTAAGATACTAGAACTTATGTCTGCTCTTGTAATATCTAGTCATTGGAGAGAAATGTGGTAACCTTCAGGTCAGCCTTCCATTTCTAGGTGATTGCTCCTTAGATGAGGAAACAATGAAATTATTAGACAGTGAAATATGCAGATGGATTTACTTTACTTCAGTCAGTATATAAGAAGAGCATGAATCTCTCTGATGGGAAACAGGGTACTGGGGTCTGAGGCAGTGTAGGTCTGAGGTGGAAGACAATGAAAGAGCATCTAAGATTTAGGCCAGAGCTTGTGGTATGGAGATGATGCTTTAAGTAGGCAGTATGACAAACTTAGGACAATCCTGCGAGCTCCTGTGTTTAATATTATAAATCTGCATCCTATTCTTCTCATTTTGCATATGCAAATCTTCACTGTCTCTTAATAGTATCTTGCCATACCTTTGGACCATAAAAAGGCAATGGTTTTCATTTTGCTTCAGTTTGAAAATAATTGAAGGAAGTAATCACCTTCATGAAAGATAGCCTCATTTTTGCATGCTAGTTAAGTGTAGAGAAATGGCAGCCATTGACTGTGATGACAGATGGTGGCCATTTTGCACAGGGAATAACCTGCGGGCTGACACCTTTTTGCATGACTAGCAGAAAAGCATATCCAAGTAAATGTAGTTATGATAAAAAATCATTATATAGGGTTCTTCTAAACATGTTTATATAGGGTTCTCTGTTAAATTTCAGCTCCAACTAAGGTCTCATCTGTGTTCTCATTAGAAATGTGGGAACTAAACTGCTCCTGCTGACAGTAGGGTCTTTAGCACAAGTAGGGTCTAGAGCAAAAGTCTGATGAGGAGCGGCTGAGGGAACTGAGGTTATAGAGCCTGGAGAAAAGGAGGCTGAGGGGAGACCTTATTGCTCTCTACAACTACCTGAAAGGAGGCTGTAGCGAGGTGGGTGTCGGTCTCTTCTCCCAAGTAACTAGCGATAGGACGAGAGGAAATGGCCTCAAGGGCCAAATGCGCCAGGGGAGGTTTAGATTGGATATTAGGAAAAATTTCTTCACTGAAAGGGTGGTCAAGCATTGGAACAGGCTGCCCAGGGAAGAGGTGGAGTCACCATCCCTGGAGGTATTTAAAAGATGTGTAGATGTGGTGCTTAGGCACGTGGTTTGGTGGTGGACTTGGCAGTGCTAGGTTAATGGTTGGACTTGATGATTTTAAAGGTCTTTTCCAACCTAAATGATTCTATGATTCTATGTTTCTATGATGTTAGGGGTATCGTTTCTTGACATCTTCTCTCTCTGTTCCTATGCCTTTACAGAGGAATCCCTGGGTATGGAAATAGGGAATAGTGGAAGACAGCACGCATTTGTGTCAGTACTTGGAAGCAGATAATGGCTTATTTCTGCAGTGGAATGAACCAGTATTTGAGGAGGAACAGGATGGATATCCTAACCTGAAGCCTTCCTCCTTCTTATGTCCTCCCTATTCTGTCTTCTTGTTCATTCTCCCACCTCACTCTAATAGTCTTGCATTTCCTTTGGAGTGGTGTCCCTTCAACTTGTGCAATACTTACCCTGTGTGTATGTGCATGCATATTTATGAGAGATTGTGTGTATATAGGAAAATCAATGCCTGTGGCAATGGTAGTGTGTTTGTGTATGTGCACATACATACGTACGTATTTCAGAGATAACCAAGCTTCACAACTGGGTAATACTGATTTAGACTAAAAATCTCTACTGAAATATCTGCAACATCTCTTGTTTATTTTAAATATTTCCTGCCAAATGATGAAGGATAATTGCTTCATAGTCTATGTTATTTATCACTGCCTGAAAACCTGTAGTATAATCTACAGAATCATTATAATGAAGAAATTAAGGTTAATACAAACTACGTTGCCTCTTACTGTAAAAAAAAAAATCTAAGTCCAAGTTAATTCCTGACATAATTCAGCTGTAGCTAGTATAGTTATACTAAATATGAATTTTTGTCCCCTTTGATGTTATGATCCTGTTTTTACTAGTCACTAATGGAAGATTAGGTAGAACTTGATTTTTGTTCATGATGTACATGAAAATCTGTTCTGTGTATTGGACCTGGGAAAATTGTAATTATACAGCAGTGCACAGCAATGCAATGACGTTTCTGTTGCTAAGTTTAATTTTCTTTTTCACTATGGTTTTCGCATTTAATGCTTTGATGTGAGAAGAATACTCCATGGAACAGTAGGACAAAATATTCTGAGGCCCTCCTTAGTTTTAATCCTTGAAAATCCTCTAGCAAACTAAAGTTATAATTATACACTACATTTTAAAACACGAATTATGTCTTCATGGTGGTAATACGGTACAATTGTTTACATCTAGTTGAGTGACAAAATTGCCAGTACTTTATATTCCTACTGGTATTTTTGTTTGTTTGCTTTTTGGTTGCCAGATGTCGTCGGCCAAAGAAAAAATCAGTCTCAATTTGTGGAATTTTACTTAATTTAGTTTATTGCCAATTATCATTAACTTTTAATTATTGACTCCGATATTGAGAAATAAACACAAACATTTAAACAAACACTTAGAGAAACATATCTCAGCTTCCTTCCAGCCACCTCTGCCCCCCCCCGGCTGGTTTCCAGTCCCTTCACCGCACATCACAGTCAGTCCCTTGGGTGAGGTGATGGTGGCACAGGAGTCTGAGGCCGGTGTGTAGTGGTTACTTTGCTTTGCTGTTCCTTGCTTCTTACTCAGCTGCTCGGGTGTGGGCTCCTCTATGGGCTGTGGTCCCCTCAGAGGAGTACCTCCTCCTGTGTCTCCCCTCTGCCCTTGCTCAGGCATCTCTTTGCTCCAGCCATGCTCAGTTGCTTCTTTGCTCCTGCGCTGTTCAAGTGTCCCCTCTTTTTCTTCAATGTCTCTGTTTCCCATAGTTGTTCCCTCCCTTTCTGAAACACATTTTCACAGAGGCAGCACATGCTCTCTGGTGGGCAGTTTGGCACGTGGTGGTGGGTCCGTTTTGTCCATTGCAGAGCCAGCTGGCACCGGCTCAGGGCAGTCCCAGACCTCGTCCAGCACAGGTTGCCCTGGATGCCCGCACCCACCACCAACACCTGCCAGCTGTGCCCAGTGCAGCAGGTAAGTGCCAGAAGGAGTGTGCAAGTCAGGCTACACATGAGCACACTGCATTATGGAGAAACATTCATGTGCATCTTATTCACTTTTCATCGCTAAGGGAAAAGCTGTGTGCTACTAAGACTGTATAAACATCTTGCATGTATTCATATTTTCTGTGTTCTTTTGAGAAGGGATAATAATGGAACCCATTTTTAAATCAGTCCTTGTCTTATCCTTTTAACTACCCAGTCTTTGCATTTTTCCCCTTTTTCTTTGTAAAAACTTGTCTGTTCGTCTGTTTTCCTGTCTATAACTTTCATGTCCCCATTTTTGTTATTCATTAGAATTTGATACATACCAAACATAAAAGAATTGGTTTAAAAATAGGTAAATGTTTTTCCTCCTGCCAGAAGATGTAAATGTACTCAATCTTTTGAATGTAGAGATTGCACCTTCCTTTCATCTGAAATCCCAGTGAAGCAAAGGAATGTTTTCATTTTGTCTTCTCCACTCAATCACCTAATTTGGAGTTTATCAGAATATTTTGGTACTGAAACCACTAAGAAGTAACATTAATAATTGAACTATGGTCTGCCTCTTGTTTGTGCTCCTGTCCTCTCCTCTCACTTTGTTCTCCTTTGCTGTTACCCAGTTTACTGTGTCTTCCACTGTTTTATATCCATTTCCTCTTATCTCTTTTGTCCCCTTCACTTTCTTCCATTACTATCTTTCTTTGCATTGACTCCTCCCTTGCTTCCTTAGTGGCCTAGTTTCGCCTTGTGAACCCCTCTGTCTCCAGTGGACTACTGGCTGCTTTTTTCATCTCAGCGAAATGAGAAATGTGGTGCTTCCAAGTAAGTGTGGTAGCCTTCTGATGGTGCCAACTCAAAGAGACCTGTTGGGACTGGCAAAGTGAACAGAGCTTTGTATCATCACCTCCATTTCCTTTTAAGAAGTGGGAACTGGAACTTGCTATAGCTTGTTTTCCTAGAACTTCCCTAGAGATGTCATTACAGCCTTCTGGTGGGATTCATAGGAAATTTCTGAGCAATCTTCATACGTACAAGTCATGACTTGCTGTTTGGACAGATGTGTCCTGAATAACTTCCTTTGTCTTTCAATAGATCTCTTTTTGTACCAAGTGTCTTTCCTAATGCCACATTTCCTAATGTACATTTTGTCACTGCATCTTTATGAATGTACTTTTGAAATGGAAATCAAGCTGATCTAGAGGACACACTGTCATCGATCAATAAAACATTTTAAAATTGGTATTTTAATACTAAAATAATGCTAGACATCTTTAAAATATGGCTGAATTGGCTTCACTGTGTGGGCTGTGGTCACTTTTTCTCCAAAAAATGGACAGCAATGACATTCACTTTCCCTTTTTAGATAGCTATTGTTTTGTTCACTTTACCACCTGAACGCTGAAGTTATTGTTTCCTACTGAGTGATTAACTGATCAGTATTTTTTAAAGTGCATTTACTAAAATCTGTATATATGTGCTCCTTCAAGTCCACTCATATATTAATTTAGTTATCCTTTGAGAAATTTGACTAAATTTCATTATTGAGGGGTTTCCAGTGAATATGTTTTTGTATGAAATCCCATCCTACTGTAGCTGGAGTTGAAATTATGTCTGTTACAAAAAAAAGAAATCATAGTATAGGCTACTTGCAGTTGACTGATCTGTGTCTGATTAAAGTGAAACCCCAAATAACAGGCAGAGGGAGTGATGAGTTCTCAGTCCATACTGCACCAGATGATTCCAATGTGAAACAGTATATATATCATTTACATTTGTTCTTACTAACTTGTAGTGAGCTGTAAAACCGGCATGTTGCTACTTAATTGATCTGGGAGGCCAGTATTAGCCTCATGTTTCCCGATATTCTTTTCACAATTCCTGAAAAGAATTATGTCTGTGAAGGAGGTGTTTAATCCTGCCATCAACCTTGCATCATCCTGTATCTAAGCATCTGTTTTATACTTTAATGCGTTCATTTTATCCTTTACTGTCTTCTTTCCTTTTATGTATTTGTAGAAAGCCTTATTATTCTTCACTATATTGCTTGCTGTCCCCTCTGATACTCTGCTTTTCTCCTGTGTAATTTTCTTTTTTTTACTCAGTGTAGCTCCCAACATGTATTTTTCCTTTAAATCATTTCTTCTTGATGGTTTTAGTTGCATCTACACCGCATTTTTCATCAATATTTCTTCTGTTGCCTATTTACTTTTGCCATTTAGTCATCTTGGGATTTTTGTCTCCTTAAAAAGGATGCTGTTCCATTAGACATTTGTTAGTACATCTTTGAAACAAGTCAATTCTTTTTCCATGCATTGTTCCTTTAAAGTTGATTCTTGACTTCGGTCACCTACTATTTCTTCTGTCCTTAGAAACGTCATTTTAAAATTTCTCACTGGTTTGTTACCCTTTACATCCTTCTTCTCTTGAATTACGATGTAAGAATTGCATGTGTTCTGTGGAGTTATGTTTTCTTCCTTAATTTGTGGGGCAACTGGGCAATGCAAGGGCAATCCTGTAGTCTGAGGAAGTTCAGTGCAAATACGGGAGGAGTGGAGACTCACAGAGGAGACTTGTCTGCCTTCCGATTCTTGGTCTGTCCTGGACCATTTGGCCTTTAGTGTGATGTGAAGGGTTAGTTTATGCTGGCCTCTAGCTGTCCATGACAACACATATATTTCCTGAACCACCCCTCCCATGCTTGAGGCTTTGAAGAGCATGGTACAGTAGTACCATGAGCTAATTCTGCAATACTTGTGGAAATTCCTTTTATGCAGAGGGAGTTTCCAGTGATCCAGTTAAACTGCTTTTATGTCTTTTAAGCTGGAGTGATGCGTATTTAGAATTTACTTTCATTTATGTTTTCTATACTGCCTACTGTACTGGGACTGCGATTAAGGACTTTAAATGCTGCAGTAGTATAAATGGAAATGGGATCATGACAAGACGTAAGATTTGGGCAAGCCACTTTGCTTTGTATGATATTTTTTATTTGGGTTTGCTGATGGGCAGCTCAGGAGAAAACTGTCACCTAAATGACATTATAATAAAACTAAGTTGTCCTGTTTTGTTATGCCTATTGGGTGAATTAAACTCATCCTTGATGTTTCTCTACTGAAATCAATGAAGTTGGTGTATTACCAGCCTTTTCGGAAAAGAAAGGAAAAGTGTTTTTTTTTTAGTTGAGTGAAACACAATAGTTTCCTCTGAAAACATTATTTTAATACTTAGAATGTTGATAATGCAACATACTGTTATTTCATTTGTAAATTGCGCTACCATAAAGTATTTTTGTGTCTATCTGTACCTAAACGTGTGTTATGTTATAGTGTATCCTATGAAGTGATTTACTGTAGGATTCTGAAAAAGCAATTGTTGTAAATTTAAGATTCAGTTCACATGTAATATTCTAGATGTCCATAATCCACTATACTACAATACTTACAGATCACTAAAAAGATTATACCATACAGTATAGCTCCTCTTGCATTGTACAGACCAATAGCAAATTTGGTCTACTGAATTCTTCAAATAGTGTAAAGTAATATAACATATTGTGTCACCAGTACTTACTGTAGCTACACAGATCTGAACTTGGTCTGTCACTACAGTGCATCTCTTTGTGCTTTGCAGATTGTGATCCTTTCGAAGCTTCATAGTGAAATCAGTGTAGGGCTAATTCCTCTTAAAACCACACATCTTACTGTAAATCTTACTCCTTGTCTAAAAGCAGCATGAAGCTCATATAGTTACTATTTCATCTTTTGAAAGACAGGTCAGTGAGAATTTGATTTAAAATATATGTGTGTTTGTTTTGATAGAGAGCAGAGGCTCAACGTAAGTGCCACTTTTTGATTTAAGGAAGACTCTGAGGGTGACCTGACTGTTCAATGAAAATAATATGTCCTATGTCAGGGCTGAAAGATCTGGATCAATTACTGTGTTTTACTAGCCATGCAGAAGTAGATGGAGCTTTTTAGTCAGTCACTGGTATTATTCTTCCTGCATCATAATATTTGAATTTGATGTTGCTTTTGGGGGACACTAAGGTCAAATTATACCCATAACTTCTGCCTGCCTGAGATTCTGCAGTGCCACGTTCTCTGTTCAGATCTTTCACATGCCCCTGTGGGTCTTTTTGTTCCTTGATGAGCCATACTCGTGAACAGTGGATACTACTTGAGAAGAATTTCTTGGTTTTGATATCATAATTACTTTTAGCCCAGTAAGACAACTCATCCAGAGTAGCAGTCAGAACATTTGAGGTTTAAACTTTTTACTGTACAAAAAAGGGGCTTTTCTCTCGTGCATTACATGAATGAAAGATATATCTTAGAAAGCCAACTCCTTCCCTCCCAGTTGCCCAGGTCAGAAGAGCTTTCTTCTGGAAGCATAGAAATTCAACCATCCTGATCAGGAGGTTTTTTTACTACATCAGGAAACTTGGAGACAGGTTTCATGGTACAAAGAAACAACTTCACCAGTAGGTAGCTGAAAGTATTACATGCCTTCTCATTCCATTTATAAATCCTCATGTACCTCATGAAGCCATTGTTTTCAGACCTGAAGCCATTGTTTTCAGACCTAAGGAAGCTATTCTCAAAATCACAGACTGGTTGAGGTTGGAAGGGACCTCTGGAGGTCATCTTGTCCAAGCCCCCTGCTCAAGCAGGGCCACCTAGAGCAGATTGCCCAGGACCATGCCCAGGACTATTCTTGAAATTGCCATTGCATTTGCTAAATGGAGGGAAGTCTGCCATTCTAGAGTCATTTTATTCAGGTAAT